CTTGTGAAAATAAAATGTGAGTGATGGCCACATTAGTACTGGTTTTCAGGAAGACTATTTTGTGAAACTGTTACAACTTGCAAATAAATAAGGGCTTTCTTTAAGCCACTTTACTATGATCACTCATATTTTGAAAATAAGATAGGCATTTTTCACTTCTTAGGATTGGAAGTAAGTGATTTAATTATCTTTTCATTCACCTCAGAGTGTTTGATCCACAGTTAATATTGCTTACACTAAAAGAGGAGAAGGACATGACTTGTGTATTAAAGGTCACTGAGATACAGAGGCCCATAATGAAACTGTCTTCGGGGGTGATTAAAGATGCCAAGCAATCATGGCTGTCAGCGCTGGTTGTGCTGCTGGATCCCTGCATCCTTTCTGTTCAGAGCAACTGATCAAAGGGGGAATTTACAGCAAAGTCACGTTTCTCAAGCCGAGAGGTCTAAGGGATGGCAGGTTCCAAAGTATAACGTGCAGGGGCTGAGGGAAAAGGATGTGTGGGAAGGAGGAGTGTTAACCAGATGGCTCTGCTTCACTGTTTTTGGGAGCCCTTGAAGGGAGTGAGGGAGAGATCAAGGCAGCGAGTTTCTGCCTGAGCTGAGTTGCAGCCAAAGGGAGCTCTGTGGGTGCTCTTCACCTCACTGGTTCAACTTGACAAGGCTCAAGGTATATCCTGTAAATAAACTCCCTTGTACTTTACTTTTCACCTTTCCAAGCACACTACTGATCAACACTCCGTATGGGATTCCTCTTTCTTTCTGGAGCTGTACAAGCCCCTATTTGTCCTTCCATTTGGATCAATTAAAAAAAAAATAATCCAGTTTTCATAATTGCTTAATTACAGGGCTCCTGTTCATTCGAAGTTCCAGGCAATGGGAACCACTCAGTATTTGACTCACTGATGTCTGTGTGCCCCTTGGTGACCTTTAGACCAATTTAATTAAAATACCTCTAGAGACCTGTCTCTCCAGGCTAAGCATGGATAGTATTGTCCTCTAGGGCCCCATTTAGGGAACTCTGTGTCTTTTTTAAGATAAAGCATATGGGGATTCTAGGCTACTGCAAGAGCACGAAGCAAAATATAGGAATGAAGAAATGTTGCATAACCTGTAACACTGCTCTAACAAACATACCACTAGTTACTACTGAAATACTCTGTGGTAAATGATGTAAGAGCAGCCTTTTAATCTAGCAAGCAAGAGGAGGGGAAAAAGAGAAAAAGATATTATTAGTAAGCATAAGCTGAATCATAACTATATATTCTCCAAAGAGGTGAAAACAACATCAATTTGTGCTTCCGCTTAAGGCAGATTTCAACATGAGGGTACAGTGATTATTTATTTGCTACATCTAGAGATAACCACCATTCATTTAAGTGGGGGCATTTAAGTAAATTACAGTCAATGTCTTTCAATTTTCATTTTAGAATTATTTGTGCCATCTGAAAGCATTTTAGTTCCTCATCTCAGCTCTTCTTGATATTATTCCTTGTTCCTCTGCTTGTTACTGTGTCATATTTCATAAACTAAGAGAGGTTGCTGTGATTCCTGACGACGTGGTTTACTGAATTGCCCTGATCTCCTGCTAAACTTGTCTGCCATTAGGTTAAGACTCTCTGAGTTTTGTAAGAACACTTCACTGACAGTGGATTGCCTAGAAAAACGATATGGTTTTCTTCATAAAGCATCTGTAGAACACAAATAAGAACTTCTCCATATCCACTCCAAAAAACACAGTCCATTCTTGATCTTCTGGGCAAATTCCAGCGTTTCCTGTAACCTGTGTCTCTGAGAGAAAGAACACCAGTTTCCTTTTTGGGTGCATCATTGACAACATTTGATATTGAAAGTTGTTTGGGTGCCCTTTCATGAAACAGCTATTTAAAAAAATTTTTTTTTTTTTTTTTGTTCTTGATGGTCTTTCTTAGACTGAGTCCAGGCTATAAGCAGCACATGCTGCTCTTTGTGTATCAAAACCGCTAAGTTATTTGAGAGAAATTGAAAAGTTTTGACAATACTTATCTTAACACTTGACAATACCTGTCTTAACACTAAGAACTGTGTTAAGCTTAACATGGGGACCTCATTTTTGGTAGAAATGCAGCAATTTCTACTGTTTATCTAACCTCCAAGAGGGAAGCAAATCTTGTATTCTGGGATGGAAAGCATTATAATCCTGTTGGTTCAGTCATCAGGCTGCTTTGTCGTGGCACTGTAGAGAAATAGCAACGACGACAGCTGCTGTCCCGGGCAGCTGATGCTTCCAGTTATCTGACAGGCTGTGATGGAGGACCACAATGAAGAACTGTGGCAAGGCAGGGGTGGAAGACTGAGGGAACAGCAGAGACTGCAGTCGAGGTGAAAGCAATTGAAAGTGGAAACAGAAATCATATGTTGATATCCTCAAGAAACTGTCAAAGTATAAATGGTCCCTGACAGTCCTTAGCTATTTCTTCCTGTGTTTTACTTGCCCTGTGAACAGCTTAGTGTTTACAGTTCCTCTTGGAGTCAGTAGTCCTAATTAGACCTTTAGCCAGTAATACAACACCGTACAACTTTATGCTGATATGAATACACAGTGACCCATTTCAAAAAAATCAATCACGATTTCATTAATTGCATTAAAACCAGCTGTTTATGCTCAAAGAGAAATTAAGCTCTGGATGTTGGACCACTTGATGACTTAATGATGTATAGAAGTCAACAACAACTCAAACTTACTGCAGCTGATACACTCCAAAATTAACCTTCATTATTGAGTGGTTTATTTTCATGGATAATATGTAAGAAAAATGCATCCTTTAGGTACTGAAAAATGTAATGCAGATATATCCAATTCTAAATCTCTGCTTTAAGAAAGTTTTTATGCCTGTGTTTTTGCTTAGTTTTTTGTTTTTTGTTTTTTTTTTTCTTTAGAGTAAAAGAGTAGTTGCGTTTCACCTGTAGTAGTTTTAGATCTCTGTGAGCTTCTCTCATGAGACACCTTCTCTCGTGGAGATCAAAGAACCAAATCACTTCTATTGCATTTGTAGATCATTGCAATATGTAATTTTGTGTGTGTTATGCTGTTGGAGTGACTGATTGAAATCAATTACATAAAAGTGTAAATTGCTTTTTAAATAGCTTAGGATAAGAAGACAGGAGATACACTATCCAGGATATATATCCAAACTGCTTCTTGATGTTTAATGGCTCAAGTTCTCATAACCAAAGGCTTCAGTATTACATGTTGTAGCACTATTAACACTGCTCAACTGCAGCTCCTCAAGTCAGAAATCCTATACGTTAAAAAGAAACCAACAGATGGCATTTTATAAACCCCATGTTTCATTGTCCTATAAATAGAGATTATCAAATGCATAATGAGTACCCGGCAAGAATAATATTTCTTTCCCGTTAACTACTTTATTAATCATAAGCAAGCAACTCATATCTTTTTTGTCTCTTGCTGGTAATTCAGTTTGGTGTTGTTATCGTAAGGCTGTGCTCATCTGGGAGTTAACATTTCAAGTTAGACACCGAGAACACAAGTGGCACCCACTTTTTTTTTTGTCTTCTGCTAATCATATTCTTATAATGTGCATATACTGGCATTATGATTATACTGTAGTTTACAATAAGGATGTATTTCAAGCGGTTGGAAATCAGATTTTCTTTTTCTAGAAGGGAGGGTGGTAACTGGCAATTAGGTTTAACGTAAGTCCTAGTTGAAAGGAGGTGAAAGAAATTGCTTTTAAAATAATAATAATGCCAGGTAGACAGAGATTGCTTATGGATGGTGTAACCAGCTGTGCAGGAGAAATGTCAAAAGATGGTTATGAGAGCATTTGGAATGTAGAAAAATCAATCTACAAGGGTGTTACATAAAAACCGTACATTTTATTATGATGTTGCCTTAAGACTATTATCCTGTATCCTGTCATTATGAGATTCTTTCTGTTGTAAAGTTACTCTACCTTCTCTCATATAACTCTCTTAATGTTATTTATTGTCTTCCATAGAAGGCAAGAATGTGCTGCTTTTAGTCACGTAAGAAGTAATGAACTAAACCGTCTTGTTAAAGGAAAATAGATCAGGAAATCAGAGGTGTGCTTTGAAACAGGGAAGGTATTAAAGAGGAAAGAACCCTTATTATTTGGTCCATCTGCTTTCTTTGTGCATTCGAAGTCCTGTCAGCTTATTTAAGGCCTTGTGGATGCCACATCCATGTAAAGTTTTTGGTTTTGCATCAGCAGTTCCTGCTGATTCCTTGGCAAGGATTCACCTCTCCCCAGATAACAGGTCACCTGAGACTTCCTCGGCTCTCAGGAAGGAAGATGGTTCCTACCACCATTTATTTTGGTTTGTGGTAGTTTGGAGTTGATTTTTACACATAAGGAGTGCTACTGATTTTGGATGTTGCTGTATTTTAATTCCAGAAAATACTTATTTTTATAAGGAAAATTTCTTGCAAACAAAGGGAAGCTTTGTTCTTTTGTGAATAGTTTTGCACTGTTTGTCAGCAGATAATGTCATGAAAGGAATAAAAATGCCTCTTTGTCTTAATGAGGAGTGAGACAGTAGCCTGATAATACTTTCATTAATAGCTATTTGTTTATTAGTTAAGATGCATAAAGAATGATTATAGAACTGGGATTTGGACCTATGGCTGTGAATGGCTGGTTATGGGTGGAACTTGAGTTGGTTACAGATCTGGTACAGATTTTGTGATGCAGCCACTCTGCTGCAACAGGCTGGCCCGGAGAGCTGTGTTGGCTTCTCTGGAACCCTCCTTAGAGCCAGAGGCTGTGCTGTGGCTGTGGAGGAGTACTTTGTTAATCCAACTGGGGTGGTGGTGAGAAGAAAAACCAGCCCAAAGCCCAGGGTTAAAGCTATCCCTGGGATGAGCCCTACATACTCAGTACTTTTGCAGTCAACCAGTTTGTTGCCCTTGTCTGTGAGGGTGATTATTAATTCATAAACAAGGGATTGATTTTTATTTTCCTGTTGTCTTTTTAGACCAGTGAGATATAGAAGACTGGATTCTGTTCTAACCTACACATCATTATTGTCGCACTAGAGGAAGACACACTTTTTGCAAGAGTATTCTTGATGAACTTTTCACTGGTGGGAAAACGGAAAAGAAATGGAGAGATAAAAATTTGAGCTACTGCTAAGATGTCAGCCTGGAGAAATTTAATGCATTTCAAACTGGCCAGGATTTTCTGGCTACTGTGTAAGCCGGAGACCAAGAAATAAGGCATTAGAAAGGTAAGCTCTTAATTTTTATATCTTGTTCCTAAAGGGAGACCTCTATATTTTTATTTTCTGCCTAGTTTTGTAAAAAGTGGGAAAGGCTTGGGTGATTGAAGTGTATGTGTGTATTTCAGTCACTTTCCCACCTCTTCTTCAGTAATTTAAAATATAAAAAACCTTGGCAAAAAACCCCAAAATAAACCAATAAAAAAGCCAACCAAAACCCATGGAATTTTCCATGACAATGGACATGCGGGTAGAGAAAAGAAGCCACAATGATTAATCCTGCTGAGAGAAGGCTACACTGTTAGTTTATAAAAGTCTTGCAGAGTTCTGCTGTGTACAGAACCACATATTGCGTTAGCGGGTCTGTGGACAGACCATCTCAAGAGGAAATGTAAACGCTTCCACGAATTAGTAGATTTTGAGGACTAAGCAGTAAAGCTGAAAAGCCACTGTTAAAGATCATCTTTTGGTTCCTGTGAAAGAAGACTTAACGCTGTGCAGCAGCATGTGATAACAGTGAGGGTAAGTGGGAAGCGGCATGACCGTGAAGTCCAGTAAGCACAGCCTCACTGGTCAAGAACAGGGAGATACCACCCCAGTGTTAGGGAACTTCTCTTGGCTTGAACTTGAGGTCAGACCTGCTGCTGGCCATTTGACTTTGTTTCCTCAGCTATATTTTATTGTCTCTTGAAATCTGAAACAGTATACTGAGCAGTTGCCTGTGCTCCTTGCCAGCGTGGTTTATGAACTACATACAGGCTAGTGCTGGCTGTGGCCTTGTGTGGAAAGGGAGCTGGCTCTTCCTTTAAATCCTCTCCATACAGCGTTAATCCAAAGCAATTCATTCTTTTTCCTGTGAGCTAGAAAGCTTATTCTTCTTGTGAGCTGATTTGGTTATCTGTTGCTGTATTAATTTAGCGATCTGATCCTTTGAACCTATTGATTTAACTGTAACTGTTCACTCAGTTTTATTCATTGCATTATTCCGTCTTTAATTAGTTTAGTTAAACTGTACAGTGAATCAGCTTAGTACAACTATGGTTATTTAGATGTTTTTTCTCTTGTTCAGCCTTGAAATGAAATCCATAAATGCACAGACAGATTTATTCCACTACATTGCAACAAGATGAGCTCAAGCTTACAGAAACCAGCAGATGAGAAATTTGCTTGCCTCTTGGTTTTGTTTCCTCACCAGTGTTCAAGAGTCCCTTTTAGTCTCAGACAGTATCCTGAATCTGTTTCTCCTCTATAAGCAGTATGAAGTTTGATTGCTTGCTAATGGAAAATCGTTGCCACCTTCATCAATAGAAGGGTGTTTTCATCCTCTGCACATAAAATCACAGGATTCACTCCTAACTACAGATGGTGAGAACTTTTGCTTCGGCATTTAGAAGTCCAAATAGAAGAAATCATTCACAGTGTTTTTAAAATGCATCCTCTCAGGTTAGATTGGCCAAAGCACAATAAAATACAGTGGCAACCACTGACGGAGCTGAACAGACAGGCTAGTGCCACTGGAAGTGAGAGAAGCTGTGGGTTTGTGCCTGTGTACCAGGTTAGCAGGTGTCACGCAGGAACCACTCGCCCAGCTTAACCTCAGCAGGGAGCAGGGTGGACTGCACGTTCCATCTCTTTAACACTGTTAGGCAGATTCCTAGCGTTGCTCTCCAGCCAGTGGCAGCTGGCCCTGGGGCTGGCTAACACAGCCAGGGTGTGTATTCACATAATGGAAACTTCTGAGTTGATGATTTTTGCTAGTAATGATCTAGATAAACGTAATGTGAGTGCATGACTGGATGATGATCTGTGGCTTTGAAGGACCTGATAGATTTTATTTCTTTTCGTGTGGTTTTGGAGTCAGGCAGTGATGTGGGTGGGCAGGCAAAAAGAAAAGGAACGATGTCACTGATGGAGGGCTTTAGCTTCTGGGGCGAGAAATGCTGCTGCTGAAAACAATACTGAGCTGAGATTATAATGCAAAGTTACTCTGCCCAGATTATTACACAAAATCTATGCATCCATATCCACTTTCAATTTGAACAGGGAAGAGGAAAATTCTGTTACTAACATTTATCCGGCACTGCCGAAAATTTGTTGAACTGCGTGTTTTGGGCATGTTGGGGTGAAAAGAAAAACACACACGAGAAAGAATGTCTGTTAAATCAAGTACTGCACCTAATAATTACATATGCTTGTGAGGTTTTAAGAAAACAAGGTTGTGAGGTTTGTTTTTTTAAACGCATGAGAAGATATAACTGTGAATTGAGAAAATGTACCGAGAAGCATGGTTTTGCAGGGGTATGTTTTGTTATAATTGTTTCTTACTGTAATAGCATTTCTTTTCAGTGTAGAACTAGGGGGAGGTAGAAGTTCACTAAAAGGTGTCTGTAATGTATTCATTAAGAGGCTTCTTTTATGTGTACAATGCAAAGCTGGTTCATAGCTAGTTTGCAGTAAAAGGAACTTCTGAGCTTTCAAAAGAAATCCAAGCAGGTGGTAACAGAGCAGCAGGAGAAGATGGGGTGGCTGAAGCAAAACTGTCCAGCAGCCCTCCAGGGTGTATTCGTGAGAGTGGTGTATTAGGAGAGCAATTGCATTCCTCTGGGTGGGGTAAGGCTGTGAAGGACCATGGCAGTGACATGAGGGACCTGTGGAGAAGTGACAGTTTCACTGTGGTGATTCTAGGTCAGTCTGATTTTCTTCTATTATTGTATGGAAGTTTTGGGTTTTGCCCCGTGCTGAGGGGAGGGCAAGTCACTCGTGTGGACTGTTCCTAAATAAAATGCAGAAGGTTTTCAGGATTTGGGAGGGCTGTGGCACTTGCTTCTGATCCCCCTGTGCCCCTCTCTGTAAGCCCTGTTAATTCAGTTGACACAGATGAAGGTGGTGGAGCAGTTATGGCTTTTATTCATTTCTTCAGACCGTTTTGCTCTTAATTAAGGGGAAATCCATGAATGCAGGTTGGAAATAAAGGCTTGGAGTAATCAATAGGGCTTAAGGGTGGCAAATGCTGCTATGTCACCTATCTCTCCTAAATGTGTTTTACTTAGTAAATTATAGGAACTACGTGGAGTGATTGAATAACAGATTCATCTTCAGGTAATGTTTCTACTGGATTTCTTTGGACCTTGACTGTAAATCTGCCCCTTGAGAGGGAAACCTCTCTTACTTGATAAGCCTAAGTCAGGTGATGGAGTCAAAGCTCTCTGAGGAAAGTAAAATACAATTTGTCCGTAATGGTAAACCTATCAAAAGCATAAGTGAGTAATAACAGCTTAGAGGTAAAGCTCCAAACAAGGCTCAGAAACAGAATCTTTCTTTATTGTAACACACAACATAAAGGTCACTGTGTACTTCAGGATTTTATATTCCTGAAGTTTGTAAATCCTGAGAGTGAAACAAGGAGTTTGTGGTAAGAAGAATAAAGACTGGCTATTCTTGTGTTTTCTCCACCTACTGTGTGAGGAAAAGGGTGTTTAGCTACCTGAGTCACAGGTGTTGTGGATCTGCAGCTAGATCAGCACAGGTGAAGGCACTGATGCTCTCAACAGCCTTCCTGGCAGGAAGAAACCAAAAGTGGAGAAGTACGGTCCTTGCACGTTACTGCAAGAAACCCACTTTGCAAATTGGGATTAAGCTGGCAAAGCAGTAAGATAACTAGGAGATTTTTACCAACTTGGGAGCAATTGAGGATATGAGAAGAAAAGCCCAATCTGCATAGAAACCTTGGAGAGGTATTTAAAAGTTATTTTTGGAATGGAGTAAGCAGCACCCCAGGGAAACCGGTCAAGTAATGATATGGTGGTGATTAATCTGGAGGATTGCTTGGGAGCATGAAAACTAATGATTTTATACCCTCAAGTATGTCATTTAAAATGTAGGTGCGAAGGGTATGCTTTGGGTTCAAGGTTGATTTTTTTTTTGTTTGTTTTTTCCCTTCATTTCCCCCCCCCTGCCCTGTATAATTTATTTAATGTAAAGTGCTCTTCCAAGAGTGGTTTTCTTGTTTGCTTGTAGACTCTTGCATGACTCAGACCAATATCTGAAGAATCTGCCTATGTTTCCAGGGAGCAGAAATTCCTACCTAAGTATACTCTAAAAGGTCAAATTTGATTTAATAAATTTATCTCAGGAAAACAAGCATCTTTCTTAGCTAGTAGGAGAAAAAAAAAGATTTTGCATTTTAAAAAAATCTAAAGCATATTATAGTTGTGTAAGTGTGAAATACTAAAAGCTCATATTACTGAAACCATACTGGTGTAAATCCTCAATACGTGTGGAAGTCAGTAGCATCACTCGTAATTCTATTATATAGTCTCTGTAAAGAAAGGAGAGCTGCTGGGAAATGCAATTCAAATTTGGTCTTAAAGTACTTATCTAAGGGCTGTATCCTGCCAGCGTTTTCAAAATAAGAGTTGTAATCAATGCCATTGCTTAAAAATCAATGTTGCCTAGTATAGTCATGTGTGATAGCACGGCACTGCAGCAAACGAAGCTATTTCAACTGCAGACTTGAATTCAGCTGGGTAGCATAATATACTGCTGTCTAATGCAGCACAGTTTAGACTGGAAGCACACTAGAGTGTATTTAATGATATTATGAAGATATCAGAGAACTTGAGAGCTTTAGAGACTGTTGGTTGGTGAAGTTTCACAAGGGTGTTGTGACAGGGACTGTGACTCCTGCAGTGCTAGATGCTTAGTGTGGCGCCTGTTTTTTATCCTTCCTGCCCTTTGCATAAACCCTTTACTGCAATATCTCTGAGTTGTCAAAAGGCCAGAAAAAAAAAGTTTGGGCCTCTTTATATTCTTCCTCTCAGAACTGGTGAGTCAGGTGTGCGGAGTAATAGTTTTAAGTTAATTTCTAATAGGGATCAATGAAAAGAGGTAATTCTTTCCAGTGGTTACAAGTGTTGTGTACTAGGAACTGAAATGTTGTGGAGCTCTTAAACTAATTTGTGTTTATTCTCTGACTCAAACATATATACTATGGCAATAACACCCAAACG